GATGAAGACAGCTCCCATTTTTAGGGGACCAGCCAAGCACTTTGCATTGTGTCCAGCATTCGTCCTGGGGGCCCTGCCAGGTGGGTAGAAGCCAGCTGTTAGTTCTGATTTGGTTGCTGGAGGTTGGTCCAGCTCTGTTGCTCCTGGAGGTCACACCACCGAGTAATCCGCAGGGTGTGGTGAGGAGTAGCAGGAAATAGCTTTGATCAGGTGAAGACAGGCAGCTGGAGGAGGTCCTGAAAACAGGAGGGGTTTTGACTTGATGGGGTTGGTAGTTGGGAGCCAAATGAGTTTCCTGAGCAAGAGAGTGAAAGGGATGCTGTGGGAAGAGAGAGCTGGGTTGGGGGGCTGGGGAGCTGGGGAGGGGTTGGTCAGGATGCCCAGAGGCCTTTTTGGCCTTCCCTGATTTGCTCAGCTCCCTCATTTAGGCAATTTATGTTTATTGAGCATCTACTATGTGGCAGGCATTGCTCCAGGTGCTGGAGCTATAGAAATGACAGAGCCTGACAAAGTCTGTGCCTCAGGAGCTGGTGTTCTAGTGGGGGGTGCAGTGACTACATGAGGAAGCACTAAGCTCCAGGGTGAGGGCCGTGAGGACAATACAGCTGGGGGGGGGCTCCCACATCCAGCCCTGCTCTGCAGGTGGGGGTGGAGCGCTGACTCTTCAGGGAGACACCTGAGCCCTCCCACTGTGTCCTGAACAGGCAGCTCTTTTGGCTGCCCCAGCTAGCGGGGTCTCTGTTCAGATCAGTCCAGAAACCGGGAGCTGGCCAAGCTGGAAATTCCCAAAGAGCAAGTCTTGGGGCAGGAAAGTAAGGTGATAGCTGGCTGGAGTCTTGAGAGACAAAGATGGTTGGTTGAAGGTACTGAGAACACAGTGGATCACTGCTGAGAGGGAGACGCCGGGGCTGGTCTGCAGGCGAAGCCCAGGGGTTCAGTTAGACTGGGAAGGGAGACCCGGTTAGGCACATCCCAGTCAGTAGTCAGGGAGGTTCTGGGGGAGTCCACACCTTAGGGAACGCTCACCAGCACTTGTTGAGCTCAGGTGTGCTGGGCCCCGGGCCAGGCATTTTACACGTGTGACCTCATCTAACATTTAGAGCTCCATTTGTCTCGGAGGACAAACGCCACATGCCCGATGGTGAACTTTAACTGGGTTCTCTCAGAGTCCTCGTGACAGCCCTGTATTGCAGGCACTGTTCTTGCTTTGGTTGCTGAAAGCTGGTCCAGATGAGATCGAGACAGTCACTTAGGTGCCATCGTTGATAGCTGGCCTGGCACTATCATGGGTGCCTTTTGTCGTTGTATGTTTTCACTTTTACTTTTTTTTAAGGTATAACTTACATACAGTCAAGTGTACTAATCGTAAGTGTACAACTCCTTGAATTTTTATGTATCTATACATATGAACCCGTGTAGCCACCATGCACATTAAGATCTAGACCATTTCCGGTGCCCCAGAAAGTTCCCCTGTGCCTCTTCCCAGTCACTCCCCCTCCAGAGGGTGACCCTCCTCTGTTTCTCTGCCTGGGGGAGCGCTGTCGATTTGTGATCACAGCTCCATGCCTGGCGTCCCTCGCAGTGTAGCATCTGTAAGCTGCATCCGCGTGGGCAAGCAGCACGCGGCTGTACTTTGTGGTTTATTGCCGAGCAGCCCTTATTGCATGAAAATATTGCAGTTGGTCCATTCTCTGGCTGATGGATACATGGATGTTTCGGTTCTTGTCTCTTGTGGTCCGAGCCACGGTGGACATTTGCATTCATGTCTTTCAGTGGGTGCAGTCACCATGTCCCTTAAGTCTTAGGAGTGGAAATGCTGGGCTCCTAACCTCTGCACCACACAGCCCCTCAAACAGCACAGCAGCCCAGGGAGGCGGTGCTATTATCCCACTTCACAGAGGGGGAAACGGAGGCTGAGAGGGGTTGAGTGGTGACTTGGCTAGTAAGGGGCTGAGCTGGAATCCAAGCCCTTGGGGATTTGGCCCCAAGCTAGGTGGCTGACCCACTACCTGGAACCCGGTCTTTTCCTAGGGCGCAAGTCCTATTCGAAAAGCCTTCTGACCTTAGGATTCTTCGAAGACCTGGGGAACAAGAAGGTCCCTGTTCTTTGTCACTGGACCAGAGGTGCCAGCAGCAATGGGATGAAAGGCGAGGGTCAGAGGGAACACGACATGATGAAAGCAAAACCCCATTACACTCCAGCCAGATGACACGCCTCAAGGTCTCAGGGGCCGCTGTGGACTGTGTGTGACCTCAGGGTCCCTAAGAGACAGCTTGGGAAGTCTGCTGCCCATCTCCGTGGACCCGGGAGCAGAACCACATGTGTGGTTGAGCATGTCTGCAAGTTCAGGGGTTCCCCTCTTAGTGTAGCTGTAGTTTTTCTTGGAGGCTGAGTAGCCAAGGGTTGGGGAGGGGTGGGACCTATCCCCACGCTCTGGCCAAACACAGGAACACGGGCCCTTCTGACTCAGGAATCATAGTTCTGAATTTTCAGACTGCCAACCTCAAACATCATGAAATAGGCAACACTGCAAAAAATGCAATTGCCGGTTGGCCCCGGAGCCCAGGCAGCCCTGACCAGTTGGGTGGGCCTGGCTGGGACACCTCCTGAGTCCTGCCCCACGAGGCCTCCACGTCCTACCCACGCAGCTTCTTGTGTCTCCCCCTGCACCACCAGGCTGAGCTCCACCAAGGCTCTAAGTCCCATTTCCACCAGCAAGGTGTCTTTTCCCTGCATTCCTGCCAGGCGTAGGTGTTATTAAAATGGCATCTTGTCCTTATGCGATTGCACCCGGCCCTGACTATTGGGGTGACGTGTCTTCCCACATTTTTGATTGTCACAACTTGGGGCGTGTGTGTGTGTGTGTGTGTGCACCACTGACATCTAGAGGGTAGAGGCCAAGGTTGCTGCTAAACATTCTACAAAGCTCTGGACAGCCCGCAGCAGGAATTCTCAGGCCAAAGTGTCAATAGTGCTAAGCAATCCTGCTCCACTGGGAACTGAGGTAAGATTCTTTTGCCTTAAAAAAAAATTTAGAGATGCTCTTGACCTATGATAGGCATTCGCCTTTTATCTGTGGTTTGCAAGTATTTCCCTGAAGTCTGCCCTCTGTTAGCTTTGTTTATGTCTTTGCCACACATAGAAAAATTGATGTAGTCAAATGTGTCCTTCACTTTTTATTATAGCCTCTGAGTTTCCTGTCATGGTTGGTCTCCCCTACCCTTGTTTAGTGCATATGATTTCTTGATTCTACTTCTATTGAGGTTTTCATCAGGCCTTATTTCATCGGGAATTGATTTTTGTGAATGGTGGGAGATGAGGGTCCAAATATATTTTTTCCACATGGAGAGCCAGTTGCAGTTTTACCGCCGAATTAAAATCCCACCTCTGTCATATTTTAACTTCACCCCCCCCCGCCTCCTCTTCTTTTCCAGTGATTCCTGTTTAATACCAGATCTTCATTACATGACTTTGTAGAATGTGGAACAAAAGTCCCTTGTCACCTCTATTCTTTTTTTCTCCCTTAAATAACTTTTTGGCCCATTTTGGACATATGCTCTTCCTCCTAATTCACTCTGGGTTGCCCAGATAAGGTGAGGAGAGCCTCTCCTTCCTTCCCAGCTGGGTGGCCTTGCCCACTGTCTGCATTCGCGCTGTGCCGCTGACTGGGACTGTTACTAGTCCCTGCTCCCTGGGGTCCCCCTCCTGCAAGCCTGGCTCTGTGCCCTGTCCCCAGCAGTGGCACATGGCAGGTGCTTGTCAGATATCAGCTGAATGAATGAATGAATGAATGAATGAACGAATGAGTAGATAATGCACATTTTTTAAAAAACACATGAAAACTGCTTTTATCTCTTATGCTGTTTTGGGAACAAGAGAGCCAGAGGTTGGCTCGGTCTTTGTCACTGCCAGGGTGTGGCGTTGGACAGCTGCTTCTCTCCTCTGCCTCAGTTTCCTTACCCATCACACTGGACCCCGAGAGCCCTGAGTTCCACCACTCTCACACGCTGGGGGTCCTAGTGGGCAAAGAGCTCCTGAGAGGGAAAGCACCGCACAGAGCAAAACACCAGGTCGACTCATCACAGGGCACTGTGCCAGGGCCCTGTACTTTCAGGGGCCCATGAAAAGATCCAGTTTCTTTTGAAATCAGAAAAGAACTTTTCTAGGTAGAAGAAAATGTTTAAATATATAACAGTATACTCACCTTATGCCAATGCAGTCATAAAATACAATTTTGAAATGTTTTTAGTGAGGGAAGGGGCCCCGCGAAACAGTCCGGGTAGGGAGGTGAGTGACTGGCATTAGCAGCAGCCTGGCCCTGGGCTGGAAGTTTCCAGTGGAGATCCCCGGAGCTGAAGGTGGGCGGAGACTCCTCTGTCCCCGGGCTGTTCCCTGAGCAAACCCCCATCCGAGCTGTCACCACCCCAGGGGAAGAGTAGGGCAGCCAGAGAGACCTGGCTCGGACCTGGCTCTACTCACGCTGCTGTTACTGAACCTCCAGGAGCCATGGCTTCCAGATTTGGAAACAGTAGCAATAGTCCCTTCTTGGCAGGACTGGGTGGCCAGTGGTGCGGTGGTTCAGCGCATGCTCGTGGAGCACAGACACAGCGCCCCCAGCCCGGGGCCCCCATGGAGCAGCCCCTCCTTAAACTGTTGAATGAATAGCTGGAGAACAGGCTGTGGCAGGCAGGCGGGAGGGGGCACCAGATAGAAGCGAGTGAATGCGCACGGACGGAATGCATCGATAATGATGTCTACACACAGATGCTTCTATCAAATGTAAAGCGCAAATGGAGCAGTCAGGGCGGGCTTCCCTGAGGAGGTGGCATCCAAGCGAGGGCCTGCAGGGGGAGGAGCGGTGGACGGGGCGAGCCCCCGGCCCCAGCCTACAGAATGCATCGATAATGATGCACATACACAGATGCTTCGATCAAATGTAAAGCGCAAATGGAGCAGTCAGGGCGGGCTTCCCCGAGGAGGTGGCGTCCGAGCGCGGCCCCAGCCTGGCCCCGTTGCAGGCATCCAGCCGGCGCTGTGGAGCCGCGAGGACGTGCTGCACTGGCTGCGCTGGGCCGAGCGCGAGTACGCCCTGCGGCGCACCCGGGAGCACGGCTTCCAGATGAACGGCCGGGCGCTCTGCATCCTCACCAAGGACGACTTCCGGCTCCGCGCGCCGGGCTCAGGTCTGCACCCTCGCTGGCTTTCCCTAAACTGAGGGACACTC